TCAAAATAATGAATATTGTTATGCACCTAGGTATGTAGATGAAAATTATTTGACTTCGCACTCTTGATTCAGGTGTTTTATTTATTCATTTTTTTTTATCTGCAAAAAAACATCAGATCAATCACTACATTTTTTATAAACTGGGCCAAACACGGAAGTGAATAAAATACTAGAAATGTGGTAATTGCGCAGTACAATAGTCAAGTATATTATCAATATAAATAAAGTTGTAATACAAGTATCAATTTGAAAAAAAAGCTTTGATATTTTCATTTGATTTTTGGTAGGTATGAGTGCTGTACAAGGTGTAATAATTATTTTATAGACTTGTTTCTTGGGTACTGTATTTTTATTTGAATTCAAAAATAGTTTTAAAAAAAAAAAAGATTATTTTAAGATTGTATTAAAACATACGCATTTAGTTATTGTTTTACATTATTTACCTTTTTCTGTCAAAATAGTTATAACTAAAATAGGTTAAAACTAAAAACTAATACCTACTTAGTTAAAAAAAATTATTTTATTTGAACTTTATCTTTTATAATTAAACTATACAAATTATTTAGACCTATCTTGGAAACCATAACAAATACTTTATAACATTATACGGTATAACTTATTGTTCATAAAATAATTATTAAAAACATGTAAATATGTAGTTATAAAGGTATTATAAATAATATTTATATAATACACATACACTCACACAAACACATTAACACATACACGCACATCAGTGAGACAAATCAGTGTATTTAATATTACTTTATTACTTACCTTCCAGTTACAGAAATAATATGTGTATTTTTCAAGGTGATGATAGGTCATTGAATTTTCAGAAGAAAATTGTTCAGAGTTCATATTACTATAATTATAATTAAATATAATATTATTATAAATATTGCTGAGTAGTATTTTAATCGAGGTAAAACAAATTAAAATTAAAATACAATATATTGAAATTATTTTTAATTAATCAGAAACACAAATCCTTATGTAAGAGTAGTTCTAGTATCTAGTGCTTATCAGCTATCCCGTTTCCTATAATATCAATCATTTCAAATTTTGGAACGTAAGGTTTAATGCATGTTGTAGTTAATATCATTAAATAGGTAGGGCAGTGTCGTAGTTATTACAATTTTTTTCTCAAACAAATTAAATATAATTAGGTATAGAAAGTAATATCTCAAACAAATCGTGTTAACAAATATTCTGATTAATTTTGTTAAGATCCTGAAAATCTAGAACTTTCAAAGTGTCTTAATTGTATTTTTTTTTTTTTTATAGTAATTATAGTGAAATAATTTATTTTAGTGCCAATAAAATATAATTTAAAAACATGCAAGTTAAGGATAAACACAATCATGTAAAATCTCAATATTAATTATTTATACCTAATGAATAAACTTTTAAACCTTTAATTACCATACCCTTGGTTCTGAGACAGTGAAACGTATCAACCATAGGTGATGTTGACAAATTGTTCATAAATATACATGATTGTATTTGATTTAAGTACGGATGTTGTATCCATCCACAATAGTCAACGTATAATGTAGCTGTAATTTCAATATCTCATCATATAAACGACTGAGCGAACAATGTTTCGAGATGATGAAGGTATTAATCAATAATTGTGAAAATTATGATGGCATTTTTACAATAAAAATGAAATGTATCGATATAGGATAAGATGCCTACAGTCTCTAAATAATCACTTGTTTAAATATCACGTGAAATAATAGTAATAATAAGTATTAGTAATAATAATTCTTGAGATTAACAAATGAATCTGTCATTAAAACTTGAATGAAACGATTTACTCTTCATTCGTCGATATTTGAATGCTATAATATTATGTACAATTAAACGAATTGTTAATACCTCATTCAATTCCAGGTCTTAGTCGGGGGGAGGGAGGACTATTGAGATTCGTGATAAAGGATTATAAATCTGAAATTATAATTGAAATATTAAAATGAATTGACGTCGAAAATCCGAAGTGGAGACGGATTAACGACGTTGTCAAGTGCAGTGATGTTTTACTGTAAGACGTGCGTATATGATTGTTTAAATATCTCAACGCATGATGATAACAAACCATAATAATTATAATATTATGAAAATTAATAATTTTAAGGAAATTAATAATTAAACATCGTTCGGCTCATCAGTCTTTGTTCATCGTTATATATATATTTTTTTTCTAGTCTCCTGGTGTTGACTTAATCATTATGATGTCGCGCGAGTACATAAATACATCGTATGATTCCAAGTGAATAATTTTGCGGTAGTCTGATGTCTGTAATTGGTTTTAGATTATATATTGTATTTATTAATACACTGACGACGCGTAGTATTTTTTATTCATTCTTGTCTGCGTTATTATCTCAATAAAAATAAAATATTATTGTTTTTCGCAGAAACGATACAATTTTGAGAAATATAAAAATAAACTTCACGTTAAAAATGTCTAGTATTTTGACAAAGAGACTTTTTTTTCGTTAAAATGAGATTGAAAACTCGATGACATTTTCTTCAAGTATAAAATACATTATATTAGTATACATAAATATTAAGTTCACAGTATATTTTTAATCGAGTGAATCAATAAAGATTGTACTGTATAAATATATTCGTAAATATAATAGAAGTGCTCGATTGGAAAAAATGAAAGAAGTTTGAGGCTTGGACTTGAAAACAATTTGCGTCTCATTATATGATTGAACATGTCGTAACTTGTCTGTGTGTTAGGAGCGGAGCAACCATCAACCTTCACACAAATAATTAGAATATTACATTGTGAGTATTTCAGGGGCCACTTCTTATAGGTAATTACAATAAATAATCTTGAACACTATAATTCATTCATTTTAAAAATATTTTTAATTAATCAAATGTAGGTACACCAATAGTAATTTATATATTTTTTTAAAATTACAATTCAATTTTATTCCTTAGTATTTAAGCAGTATCATAACAATATTAAGCTGTAAGGTAAATCGAATTGAATTTAAATAGTATATTCAATACAAAAATTTTACAAAATAAAAATTACAAAAATAATGTTATGTGAACAAATATTTTGTAAACAAATACCGTTTCATCTTCCATCTCCAATGCAAAATATAATTAATACAGGATGCTCAGAGTGCTCTATAGTACTTTATATTATTTTTAAACATCAATTAAGTTATATTCCCTTAGATGTTATAGAATATATGTTATATTCATAATAATAATAAGTTGTTAAATGTATTGATTTGAATTTCAAAATCATATTCAATAAAATTTTGCGAAATACTAATTACAAAAAATAATGTTTTTAAAAATATTTTGTAAAAAATAACAAAACCATCCTCCAGTTTTAATACAAATATAGGGTATAGTATAGGGTGGTGCTCAAAGAAAAATTTTTTTTTTTTAATAGTAGAGGATCTCACCCCTCTCACCATAATTCAAGCACTGATATAGTCATTAGGACGAAAACATATAACGTAAGTAGGTACAATTATTAATATTCTACAATCGTCTCTGGAGTTTGACCAAAAAAATATTATGATGTATATGACGATTCCTAACAAATATAAGTTTTCAAAGTAATTTTAATAAATGTACTTCTCAAACGCACGTGTAGTAGCTGTTGGGTTGTTTGAAAATGTTTTTTTCTTATATTTATTTAAAATTATGTAATATATTTAATAGGGTTTGGGTCGGTGCTTACGTGTTGAACCATTTGTATTCATATAAGCTCTCAGAAATCGTACAGCCAACAGCTATAAATACTTATAACTGCATCATGGATGAGCGTATAATATAAATGGACTCAAAAGAAGTTAAGAAAGGTACAAACTACACATTTTTTTTAGTCACATACTATTGTACAGTTTCTATTTAACCCTTTCAGACCCCAGGCACATTACAATGTGCATACAATTGAATAATTAATATAAAATTACTGATAAGAGTTAAGTTGATTAAAATTATTGTATCATATGTTAGAACACGTGATATTTTCGATTTCAGTGTAATCACAAGTTTGTTTACCTTTTAACACGGTGAGATTCTATAAAATATCAAGAAAAATAAGATGTCTTTGGATTTTTTTTTTTTTTTTTTAATTTTTATTTATCTAACGTTCCTTGATAACCTCAAAATTACCGTGACACAATATTAATACAAATAAATAGCACATGAATAAGTTTACCTCTTATCAAATGATTAGTATCTATAACCGTTCTCACGATATTAGGCGCTGAACTATGCACATTACAATGTGCAATGGGATTAGACCATAGAGTAATATTATTACTATATGGATTAGGCGAATGAATTTGATACAATATTATATTATCAGATGTCCGTTATTGCATTGCATAGAGTAATATTACTCTATGTTACATTGAATTTTTATCAATTTTTATTTAGCTGTTGTCAGTTAACACGAATTAAAATATTTGTAGATCGTATATTTTATAAGTAGGCGTTTTTTTGTATTTTTTAGTTAAAATGTTGATTTAATTTTTTTAATTATTAATTATTAATGTTTATTGTTACACAAATAAGATTTGTTTATGTTCATTTTTTAAGTTTGGTAAAATTGTTTTAATATTGTTATCAATAAAATGTTTTTTATCAATAATATAGTTTTTTTTTTAAATAACTTATTACTATGTGTGCACAAGAAGACAATACATGTCTTTGTTTCATAAATTAACGAAATTTTATAGTTCTTGAAACAATAAGTTTATCACCTAAATCCCGTTGCACATTATAATGTGCATAGTGTTTTATGCTACAAATTCCAATGTACATTGTAATGTGCATTCAAGTATCTCCATATTGGCCCAATGGACATTATAATGTGCATAGTTGTATTTTTGGTCCAGATGGTCAGAATCTCTTCAAACTTGAAAAGAACCTTAATTAAGTATCTTTAATAACATATATAAATCACTAATTTTTTTTTCTCTACTACAATTAATTCGGGTCTGAAAGGGTTAAAAAATAATGAAGGATTGACTTATACTTCTAAGCATATAGGTTACATAAAAACGTATCTTATTAATACACCGAAAAAAAACTAAACACTGTACAAAACCTATAGAGTCTGTATCGGATAAACTTATAAAACGAAAAATAAATCAATTCACAAAAAAAAAAAAAACACTATTTCTAAAAATTAAACACAAAAATATTAGTCGACTTCGAGTTTTCTAAATGAGCCTTCAACTCCAGCCAGCATGTTCACCTTAACGCAGGGTTTCTTTGTCCTTCTGTTCTCATCACAATTGACCGCATTTTGAGACAGGTACCAGTCCCTGTGTTTTATCAATTCTTCTTGCCAATCAACTGTAATTTAAAAAAAAAAATAACAATAATAAAATCAGTATAGATAGCTGGAGCTTGACACAAACGTATATAATACATAAGATGTTCAATATCAGTTACCTATAATGACCAAATACCTCCCCCCACTAAAATTATTATATTTTCAACGGAAAAAATTGAAATGCTTTTAAATATCAACACGAAATGTTTTCTATGTCCGTTTTGTTTTGTTTTGTTTTTTTTTTTTGTTGGATGACCAGTCCAAAAATATTTTCGGCTTAATGTTATTATGAGATACAACGATTACACGTTTGAGAAAGATTTGAGTGCTTTACTGTAAAATATATTTTATGATTGACGTATGATGTTATTTTTCTTAACGGCGTTCAGGCATATTATTTGAAATCTAAATAAACCGCCGATTGTGATAATGTCATGCGCACGAATCGACGGCACGTTTCATAATAATAACGACGTGGTTAAAAAACTCGATGGCGCTATACCATTCATATATATATAATAATTGTCTATGTATATAACAATGTATAGCTATATAGTACCTATGTACAAATGATATTGTTGTTGGGCTACATCGAAACGAGTAAAATAATATTATCATTGCGGTGGATGCAATACAATATTATTGTTTTAACAAACAGGTATCCAAATATTTCGAAGCTTACAAACTGCAACACGCGTTGTTTTATAGACGTGACCGTAAAAAGTTTACACACCGGCAGCGAAACAAATAATAATAATATATAGGAAGTGTATGAAGCGCATAATATAATAATATTATGGCGTCACGCGTGGACATAAAAATTGTAAATATACTTTCATCCACCACGTAGTTCCTAGTTCCTACCTACCAGTATACATCGTTTGGTGGATTTAAATCCAAAGGACGTTTTTACACTTTTCTGAAAACCAACGTTGAACAGTATAAATAATAATAATATTTTTGTACGTATCACATTATAAAATATGTTAGCATCACCACCTTCGGTAATAGTCTGATTGCGTGAAATACAATGAAATATTATTATACCAAACTCCTAAATTAAAGGAATATTACTAATATATTGACTATGGTTGGTTGTAAATGGCGGAAAAAGTTTTCAAACCGACCGATTTGTAGAAATTAAACGTAGAAAAACGTCAATCGACAAGTAGCAATATCAACTAGTATTTAAGTGCACATGTTCCAAAATCGAGGAACGACGCATAAATTGTTGTCCAACAAAAACTAAATCGATTTAAACCGTCAGTTTTTCAGTGGCGATCGTACTAGATACAGAAAAGAAAAATATTTCTGACTCGATCACAACTGATTCGAAGACGTGAAAAAAAATATGATTTAAAATATCCGAGACCGTTTACTTAATAGTTTTAGTGATCAGGTAATAATAATCAGTTTATGAGCGAAAAACAAATATTTAGTGTCGTTAAAAAAAATTAGTACTATTATATTCTAGTTACGAGGGCGTAAAAGATTGACAATCACGTCCATGGCGTAGTATGATGTATGCAAATGTAAAATTGCATGGATTTTTTTCTCTGCAGGCGGGTAAATTGTATTTTTCCTTTATCTTTTATTGTTTTCATTGATCTAGCTAGTGGACTCCGTTTGTGTTGTAATCTATCTTGTATCTATAGTATCAGACTTGAACTTGCAGTGCCGCATCCATGGACTAACAGAGTTCGACTTCAAATAATAATATACATTTCTGCCAAGTGTGTCTCATCCACTAGTAATATATATGATAATGTACACTCTAGAGTCTAGATAGTATTATAGACATTTTCATACATTATTATAAACACTATCACGCCCGTCTGAATTATTCTGTACATTTCGGATAAATCATAGTATGATAAGTAGTTAATGATAATACGGCATGCGTCGGTCTTGAGCTCACAATTCGCTCGACCTCAGAATACTGTTATTATTATTATCAATTCGGCCTCGCCGTAGATAATATACAATTATTATATAGGTAGTAATTAATATTCGGATAACACGGACGGTGTGTTGGTTACGGTTTTTTTTTTTTTGAGGAGAACTCGGAAAAAACTATATGGTCTCGCGTGAGTGTATAATGATATGTAAATTCACCAGTAGGTGCATATTATTATTATTATTATTATTATCGTTCCGCGTCGTGAAATTTACAAATAGGGCCTTGATCGTGTAGGCGACCGACAAGATATTATCGATATCATGGATATAGAAATTGTATAATTTCGTATAATTTTAGACTTAATTCGATAAAAATTGTTTGTACCGTTGTTATAGTACGTATCATATTTGCTGGTATTTGTTGTTAAAGTGCATTTCGATAATTGGTAATTATAGTAAATAAAAAGATTTCCTGTGTACACTATCATTATATCCACTGCGTATATAGAATAATAATTATTCAGCGGGTACCTACTAATTATTATGATACACACGTTGTAAAATCATATATGTGAAGTATGGTTTTGGCATTCACAGTTTTATAGTCAACACAAAATAATAATATAATCAGTTAGGTACAGACGAAAACGTTTCCGTCCCGGCACCACGTATCACCGTCTACCATCGTATCCGTGTTCTCGACGACGCCTTTTAATAAGTGGATAAAATATATTATTATTTCATGGACATATTAAATGAATGATATTATCATTTTTGTGATTAAGAATACCGATATGTAAAGTAATCAAATAATATTATAATCCGATGGGAAACAATCAATCCGTGATACTGATCAAGACACTTGGACCATAAGATGAAATAAATATGACAACTACTTTTTGTACAACAGTACTTTTAACAAAGTAAAATGTACAAGAATTAAAATTGATGAAAAAATGTGCTTATAAAGTTATGAGCATTGTAATAGCGTGTGACGTGTGTTCTACCTACGTAAGAAAATACGGGTGGTAAAATAATAACATTTTGATAAAATTATGACTAGCCATGTCAGAATGAGTGAAAAATTCCAGAATCGGCGTTTGATGGTCGTTGATATAGATATTATACGTTCGTCACATCATTAAATTTGTGAACGATAACAAAAAACAGGTATTACAACACTTCGGTAAAGGTAAAAAAGGGCGGGTGGTTTTTATGGCGAGTGAAGAGTTTTAGACTTAAGTTGGTCTGGTTGGTATTAGTCACCAACCACCGTCGTCTCGTCACCAGTGCATCGGAATCCGGTTTTTCAGTTATGTAATAAACTAGTATAATATTATTATTATTGTTGTTGTTGTAAAGGAATAACGAACGCAATATTATTATATTCAAGGAAATACAAAAACCCGGATGATATATAATATAAAATACGCGATAGCAAGTTCCATTATTTATATCGTTATTCGTTCACAAATAGCGAACCACAATAATATTGTTAGGTATTAGACACCTACGTCATTCCGGTTAAACGACAATATTATTGTGTTCAAGATACACGTGTCGTTATATTTTTTACTAAAGCGCCCAGATGCTAATGTAATTTTTTCCTCAAAAATATCCTTTACAAGAATAATGATCCTCTTATCCTGTGGAATCAACTAAATTTGATTATTTTTTTTTTATATTGATACATATGTATCATATAGCATATTCTGTAGCCCGCATTGAACTCCACTTTTAAATATTTTTATGTGAAACTTCATCATATAGGTATCTACAAAAAAAGACAATTTTAACATTTTTTTGCCATTATTTGAAATAAAATACAATTTCAGATTACAATGCGGGCAATAGAAATCTTTTGTTTTCAGATAAAAAACAAATAGTTTTCAAAATCCCCGTAACTGTACATGAGCTCTGAACGTTTTTACCGTGAAGTTATCTTAGTTAATATAATACACTGTACCGACCCCCTTCCAATTCCCTGATGCGACAAATTTTAGTTATTAGTGAAAAGGTATTATAATTTACTAATGTGACAACTAAAAAGTGTCAATTCATCGAAAACCAGTAGATCGACAACTCAGACATCATATACGTCCAAATCATATTATCTAATAGCCAACTCATCGTGTTATATTTACACATCAGCCTCGGTGATAAACGGTCTTAAATATTAATATCGACGCGCGCAGAGGCGTTACCGATGATCGTTTGAGTGCAAAATATAACCAGACACAATAAAAAATAATTCATATGGTTATTTTTGTTTACAGTCATTAGTTTTGTCACTTTAAGGTCCAGTCGTTTCGTCGCGCAGTCACGAATACTACTACTGTATATAGTAGTGCAACACTAATAATTAATATCGCAGTTGTAAATAATAATAATAACTATGAGCATAATAATATACACACAATATTATTGTTGATGTTTCGGCCAAACTTTCAATTTTTTATTTTGACTATACGGAAGGTTAATAATAAACATATTATAGTCTTACGGTACAGTGTAATATTCTCGTCGCGTAAACAAAACGATATGGACGGAACTTTTTGACGGTCAGATCCTTCTGTAGACACGCGTAACGCAGCTTAGCTTATAGATAAAATGATAATAATATAGTAGCTGAATGACAGCAGCATTATTATATTATGCTTGAAAACAAGGGTGACGACGTATTTTGCAGACTCGAACCAAATCTGGAACTATTTGCGATCATATACCATGTTGTTTATACCACGACGGTAATACTAATACGTACGTCGTAGGTAAGTCTTAACATAATTTCTAAACCGACGACGCAGTGACGCACAATTGCAACGCGATACGTATCAACCGACAATAATATTGTATATCATACCGTTGTTGGTGTACAAAATATCAACGAGACAACTCAGCGACAGTATTATAACGATATCAAATAAATAACAAAAATAAAAATACTTTTAACGATTATGTGGTGAGGTTAAAGTTTTCTTTTTTTTATTATTATTGGTTCGGAGAAAATCGGTTTGTCAACGTTTATAGTCGGTAATATCACAACGTTAAAGTATAGCATTATAATATCTCAGTATAGTAACTCACACACATTGTAATAATTTATTATATTATTATTTTTACTATGTACAATATTATGTACCCTTTGAGAGATCTGAAAACCTATTGGAAAATTAGAAATTATTAAAATACAAGGGCCGTACCTACTGTTATTGGTTCTATAATTTTTTTTAATAACTATTCCGTTGTTATTATGATAGATAATATAATGGGGAGAGACTCACCGATAAGTTCTTCGCTAGTTTTCGGGAAAGTACCAGCGTAGTCCAAAGGCAGAATGTCGGGTGTGATGTGCTTCTTCATGTCTTCAAGACTGCTGTGGATTTTAATCTAGAACGGGAAGGACGAGAAAAAACAGCGTTATTATCGGGATCGTCCTTATTGTAAATAATATTTCGTTTCGAAACACGAGTAGGACGTCTAACACTAAAAGTAACTCACCCTGTTGGCGATTTTCTTTTTCAAAACACCCAGCACCATGTTGACCATCGTTTGAGCGTAGCTGGGCATGTTGATAATGTGAATTTCTTGAATTCGCAACGGATAGGCCGTCTGAAATCACAATTTTAAACTCATATTAAAACTTCGTTACAAATGTTTATCCTAATGAACATATCAAGTATTCTTTGTCTCAGGGCGACATTTTGTTTACACGACAATAATATATATAGGTAGGTTAACCTAACCTAACCCATCTATACTATATTATAATGCTAAACATGAATATCATAACACTCGTAAGTTTGTTGATTCAAAAAAGTTTGATTGTTTTTGACACTGACATTGCGGATGCAAACTACAATATTATTCAAATCAAATATTGGAAACAGTGTTTTGGCTTTATTCACATGCAGACACGCACTTAAGACGCATATAATTACGTTACATTCTGCATGTCTTGTGGGTCAATATTATATGGTTTTCACAAGCCCTAGACCACCCACCCTTCAAAGTTAAGTTAGGTTTTAAAACGATTAGTTTATAATTTTGTTTACAAATTAAAAACGATCCAAAGAATTTTGACATGTCAAAATACACATTTGGCCGTTGGCCAGTTTTCAACTGGTTTTGTAGTAATACGTCATCGGGCCCTGAGATTATTATTAATTAGTTAAAATTATAATTAACAACTATAATAGGTAACTAATAACCAAAGCAATTTGTTTGATTGATATTTGATAGGATTTGCAGTAGAATAATTTGTTTATATAAATTGTACGTGGGTCATCATAAGTTCACAAACATTCTTATTTCTGGTAGAAATATTTTTTTTCCTAAAAAAACCACAAACTTAACACCATATAATTCCGGTTCGTCATAATCATTATAATTTTAGACAGATATAATATTACATCTGGTGTTAATATTTTATTTATATGTTTGTAAATACACTGACATGAATCATATACAACTATTATTATTATTATATTGAAAACCGGTAAAACGATACGCTGAGGAATAAACCACCAAACGACTTATTATTTAAATAATTGCCGCTTTGTTATATATTAAGATTATTTGCTCTAACCAGTTAGCGACCTTGACAATGAAATCGAATGATTCCGGTGTAGGAATCGCGACTATCGTTAAGAACGTAGGAAACCGAACTAACTAGTTTCGTGATTCGAACCATAAATTTAACACACCAGAAACAAAACGCTTCGGCTTGCGGCAGTCATGATGGAATTCCGCCAAGTTTATACTGTCCACAAATGCCTACAAAAATCGTACTCGAAGAATGTGCCTACGACGATAAATCGCATTTAAAATAAAATAAAAAATATTCCTGCAATACCACTTTTTACGTGTATATTGTTCTACAAGAATACCAGCTGGTACACCGCAGCAGCCGGTTTGTCCGGACTCGTGGGTGTACCTATAATAGATGTTTACGAACGTCTGCGTATAAATTAAATCGGAAAACATTAGTACCTACAGGTTTTATAGGTAGGTACTCTTATTGTATATGCAGACTTAACATCCAATGCGATTCGACGATCGGCGTTTTTGATTATTATTTTGTGTTCTTATAAAAACACGAATTACGATTTGGTTATCATAATAATTATTCTATCCAGAAACTCAAAAAACAAAACCATTATCTCTTTACGCGTTGTTTGGCAATTATTTCTCTATTTGCCCCCAGCCCTCCGCCCATTGGTAATAATATTATTTCTTTAGCTCGAGTGATGTTTATTCGAATCCATAACATTACGTGTATTATTTTATAAATAGAATAGGTATACTCACTGTTGCGCAGTAAACGAACTTCTTCATATGCGGTAACATAGAGGTCAGATGAGCCATGGTGATGTCTTTCAAGTCGAAGATGAATATTTCCTTTTTGAACATATCCAATTTGGAAAGCCTGATGTCGATAGACATAAAGTTTACCTTTACGTAGTCTGCGAATTCGAAATTATCCACTTCTTGGTTTCTGATACGGCTGAGAGAGACTCTGTAGCCTTCTGGTGTCAATTTCGGTAAAGGAATAAAAAGCCTAAACATTGAAAAGAAAAATTGGTTTCAATGTACATATTTGTATTTATGCAGAGAATTCAATTTTAAATGACATCACGAATTTGATCGTTGTTTCTTTACAGCTAACTGAGCTAACGATTTGATATAACCTATCATTTAACATAATACATGCAGTAGTATTATTACCGTGTAAATAATATGGCTACTAAAATTAATGATGTACCTTGGACCTATATAATTTAAGTACCATACAGTTATACAAATGTACAATCATCTATTATAAATAGTTATAATTATAATATATTACTATACAATGACGCCAAAAATCAATGAAAAATGTTATACTGTAGGCAATTATTATTACCTACGACCTACTGTTAAATATTTGAATAGTAATTATACAAATAGTGAGTAATTATAAATTGAAAAAACATTAGATTTGAATAATATATTCTTATGACTCTGAAAATCCACCAGTACCTAATTTTCTTTACAAGTAAAAAATTATGATTTCTAACATGCAAGTAATTCGAAGTATGAGCATGGAATAAACTTATCATCTAAGAAAATTATAGGTATTAGAAACTGTTGTAAATAATGGTCACTAATAATGTGTGTATATTTAATAATATATAAAATATGTAGGTACTTACGATGTTTTCATCGATCGCAAGAGTGCGGGTGCAGTAGGATCTCTGTCACCGAAGAATTCTGGAACCATTGACTTTAATGTGTAATATTGATCCAAAGACTCTTTGGTCCTCTCCATACTGTTTTTGCAAAGAATTAAAAATAAACGAATTCTTCGTTCATCGCCTACAAAAAATAACAAAGACGTTTTTAATCCTTACTAGTATAACAATAATAATAGAAAAATGCAGTGGTTTTTTTTTAATAAATCTAATTTGTCGGCAAAACGAACTATTGTGAGTTGGAACTGTAATTTCGAATTAATTACGTGACAACTTAAAAAATCAATTTCACGTGTTTTTTTTTTATATAATATATACATATTTTATATTATAAACGCATTATAAAGAGTACTAAACTAAACCGACGATTAAAAGATATCAACAAGTTTATAAATACCAGTACATTATCATGTACACAACTATAGAATAAACTAATGATAATAGTATGAGATTAAAAAAATGCATTGCAAGACGAGGTTTTTCATTATGTTATTATTTGTATTGACCCATAACGTATTCTAAATAATGTTACGACCTATAATAAATTTAAAAAAAAAAATTCTAAAACTTTTGACAATTTATGAGTATTATGACATTTATTTTTTACGACTACATACATTTTTATTATACGAAAATATTAATTCATTATTGTATCATAATATTTTTGTTATATTGTCTCACTGTTGAATTAATTATCTAGCTTCGTTTAACCCTTTGTAACCGTCACCAAATCGTAAATAAATAAATATTATTTAGCGGGTACCTAATGTATATTATAGTGGTGACTACATATAAAAACGTTATATTATTATAAATTACCGTCAGGGTTGGGGAGATGGGGCTGTTTACGCATCCATTCCACGATGGTCTGCACGTCTGCGTCGAGCTTCTCCTCGGTTATGCCCAGGTCCTGGTAAATCTCCTTCAACTTTTCCGGCGTGGGTAACATTAAGGTTTTCGTGGCCATTTCTGCTGCTGCTCGGTGAACGCCGGCCGGAATCGATGACTACACTTAGATCACCCTCGGTACGGTTTCGGACGAGATCTGCGTGCCGGTGACGGGATTGATGTCGAGATTTGATATAAATGTCGGGACTTAATACGATATTATTACAGTATTATTGTCGTCGGGACACGACTCTTCGATGGTCACCGTCGTCGCAGTCGTCGCCGTCGCCGTATCGATAACGACTTGTACTCGGCCAGCGTCCGGCGAGGTTCATATATATATAACGACGCGGGTACAACAAGCGGTCCTCGCCCCCACCCGATCGCGGTCGTCGTGGAAAATAACCCACCACCGCGCATACCCCACCACCCGCATCGTAGGTGGAAGCAGTTGTGACGCACAGTGCGGTCTTCGTTGTTTTTGCCAAGCCGCCGCTGTCTCGACTTATCCCGAGCCACGGTAATTTACGACACAAAGGTCTGGAAATTTCTATAGAATTTATTAATTTTTTTTTTTTTTTTTACTACGATACCAGAATAACGACTACGACTTTATACGTATCCTTGGGAGCTTATACCACGCGTTCCGATAATATCGCGCAAACGGGTTGACTACACCGCAAACGAACAACCCGACCTGACGTCATCGGGGCGGACCAGTGACTCCGGAACCCCTACGGGACCTGAAAATGTTTATGGTGTATGACGTAGTCTTAGAGTATCGTCAGCAGTGCGCATTATATATGGTCAAATATTAAGTAGGTATAACACGTTATAAAATTATAATATTATAATATTTTATGCTCATGACGTAACTACCAGGCTGGTCTGTATCTGCTTTAAAATATAGCTAAATACTGATACTAATTTTTTTTGGCTAGGGCAGTAAAATTTAATAAAATGAGGAAATATTTATTATTTTATTCGCTTACTTCAAATAATATAGTAAGTTCATGCATGATATTTTTTTTATGTTTTATAATTATTAATTAAAAACCTCAACACATAGTCGATTGGGCAAACATACTATTACAATATTAATATATATATTATGTATAATATATTGATTATTTCAATACGAATCAGAAAAAAACAAATTAAAAAAATTAAATTAAATATTTTTAAGATTTGTTTTTACATTTGAATGGTAATAATTATGAATTTGTTGGTAATTGAAATTAATTTAGAGATGAATTAGAGAAGATTAGGGTTAATCGGTATTTCGGGTGGAAGTTTGGAAGATGAAATTATTTCTAGTGCCGTGAAACGGTTTAGCATTCGGTTAAAATGTTTTATGAGCGTCGATACCTACTTCACAATGGAAATTTTGTAATTCACTGAACTATTATAATATTGATAAATATATTTTACTAAGTATTAGATATTATAATATCGTATTACACTGTTTCAATGTTATGAATTTTACTCTTCTAAACGTTAAACATTACTGTAGAATGTAGATACATTATAATGTTTGTTTATTATACCTCAAAGTATTATAGATTGTAACAATTCTTTTAAAAAAACGGTATGTAGGTTAATATTCATATCTTCCATATAAACTAAATCTAATTAAAGAAATATTACTATTTTGAATAAAAAAAAAAACAAATTCTTACAATTTATTAGTTATTAGGAATTGTTTGATATTCAAATTGTGTTAACCTTCTAATTATACGAAAAAGTATAAAGTGTGTATTTGAATTTTGAATATTAAATTTGAACAACCTACTATACATTATTTTTCAGATTTTTACATCGTGCTTTTTTTTACCTATCACAGGTATTATCATTTAATTAATTACCGAATTTTTTAATACATATTTTTTTATTTATCATTTCAATGAATGGCCAAGTCAGATGATTGGGAATATACTATTGCTTGAAGTTATCTATTGAATTATTTGTTCAACTTTTTATGACTAATTTATTATACAAGTAAAATATATGTTTACCATATACATAGGTTTATAAATTATAATTTAGTTTAGAACCATAGGAGTATAATATTACCATTTTTAGAGTTTTCTAGAATAATGGGTTGTTTTGAAAACAAAAAAAAGTTTAAAATACCTAAATAAACTATACACTATAAAATATGAAGTTAAAAAAAAACTGCATGATGTCAAAAAATGTTAGTTACAAAATAGTATAAAACTTATATTAAAATCAATGTTTTTCCGAGGGTCGGAATATTGTCGGTGTTGAAAGTGAGGTCATATGGACTTCGAGGCAGTTCAATAACGATTAATAATTAGATAACTTAAATATAATTGATTTGATCACAAAATGCAAATTGTAAATAGACTTGTTCATTAAATTAATATGTATTTTATATTATTCTCGTAGTCGATAAAGTGTAGGTACTGTAAAATCACTAAAATAACATAATATAAGTGATATTACATAAATCCGATAAATGTCAGAATTTTATTGAAATAAAACAATATCGTGGTATTAGTTTGAATTAAAGACTATATTATTCTTATGTAAAACTATAGAGCAAATAAATTACATAATAACAATACTGTACATAATAATACACTACCTAACAAAGCTAAATCACAACAGGAAATTTAACTCGTTTACATTAATACAATTGTTTCCATTAATAAAACATGTTTTTAACCATATTAATTATTTAATATTAGACTTAGTCGACATCGAACTCAACATAAAAAAGTTATCTATTCTTATGTTAACTTTTAATTAACGAAGTTGACATAATTATTCATTTTGACACATATTCATTACATTTTAATTGCTATTTAAATTCTCATATAAATTATGATTTCAATTTTACAGTATTATATCGAATACAACGGATACGCTCTCCTTTCTTAGAATTCTGTATACCAAAGAAAAAGCTAAAAAGGTCATCAAAATGTCTTCATAATCTATATAGTTGTAATAAGTATTATATATTAAAATTAGGTTTTTGATAGCTATATATTTTTATTTTTTAATTCAAATGTCTGATTCTAATAATAATATAGTAAAAAATGAATGTTTCACGTATTCCACATCGGTTTGCCTTATCCATCGGTTATAAAATCAAATAGTTGATGGATGAAATCTTTGTAATAAATTATTACATTTTCTCAATAGTGTTAATTTGTAATTGTGATTACTGATTAGCATATAGGTTCCAAAAACTTACCTTATAGGCTTTAAAAAATGTGAAAAAAATGTAATCATGTTCAATTTTAACATATTATTATTAATTTTATTATTTTATTAATCAATACGAGTTATTTTATTGTACCAACCTCATAAAATAAACATCTTACTAATAGTAGAACCAAAATTCTCATAGCTGTTTGCTTCAATGTTTTTATTTAGTCTTACCATGTAAAGTCATACCAAGGATGTTTACACAGTAATTTGAGATGCTCTTAGTTAAAAAGTAAAAGTTTAAAAATATAGAATAATATAATAAGTGCTATTTTTTTGTAACATTATAATTAAATAAATAAAAATATAAAAAAATTAAATATTTTATTTTCAATGTCGTATAATCTACCTAATATACTGCATATATATTTAGATCCTACCTGTTATAAAAAAAACTTTAAAACATTATTTTTGCATTTCATTGGTGGTAGGTAGTAGGTACCTATATTGGGTACAAAAATAAGGGTTTTTCAGTATAAACTTCGGCTACGTAGGTCTTCAGTTAGGTATGTAAATATTTGTTGACTTGAACTTTTTTTTTTAATAAAAGTGTAATTATATTATTACGCTTTTTTAAAAATAGTAAATTTATTGTTTTCAGGCTCGATTACCAAGCGCTGCGTCTAAAGGTCCTGAATTTTCTACATCATAGGTATTTTGCCTTCTTCGAGATCTTCTTCGTACTTGTGACATTCGGTTACTAAATAAACACATTTACTACTTTGACCTACTTTAATAAGTGCAACTTTCTTTAACATCAGAAAACCATGTGTCAAATTGGTTTGTTTAAGTCTCGTCCGAGTCTTTTAATTAGGTACATATTCTAAACGAGAAATTGTATAAAACATATTATTCATAAAAATACAATTTTGTTTACATTAAAACAAATGTTTTTAAGATGAACTCGAAGCCATAGTATTTCCATGGTATATTTACAGTTTGATATTTACGAAATTCACGACGTGTAGTACCTCACTGTATTGTATTCATATGAATATCATTTATCTGGTAATTATTAAACAAATTTCAAATGGTTTGAAACATTTTAATTAAGTTAGTAAGAATAATTTGTGAACATGTAAATATTATTATATTATTCCTTTTGAAAATATCTACACTACCTAATAATTAATATTATTCTTAAAATAATTTAAAATTAAAATAACCTACGGTGTATAGTACTGATAGTTTGAAGGTTTTTCGCATAATTCCAATGATTTTAATTACCTAAATATCATTAATATAATTTATTAAAACCGGATTTCCGATGAGTAATGGTATACATATAATAACTATAGAATATATAAAAAAATTGTTTATATAATATATAATTAATAGTTATAATAATAAAATAAATAGTAAATATAATAACTATAATTATAATATTATAATATTATTATAATCAGCAACAACCAATATTGTTTTGCAAAATATTTTTTTTTTTTTACTAAGCAAACTATCCTGGCCATTGAACGCCTTAATAATAGTATTTATGTCGAATAAACAACATTATTTAAGTCTGTTTTTATTTATAAATGATCAAGTATATACTATCATGTATTCCGTATGAATAATTATTATCATATTAATGAGACTTTGGTTTTCAGATTTAACTTGGATATGGTTTAAATACGAATTTTAGAATTTCAAAAGCATTCAAAGTATTTTGAAGTTTAAACGAGCAAAGTAGTGGATCAAATTTTTGAGGGATACTATTCAGCCACTCCACTCATCGAACATTAAATAAATTAATATAACTCTAAATATAGGCACCTACTTGTTGAATATTCAATTTGTTTGTGGTATGATATTCTTAAAAAAAAAATTGTCGTATATATAATAAGTAGCATATTACTAAATGCTTTTCCTCAGCAAGAACAATTCAGGAAACAGATATGTTTTTGCGTATAGTGCAGCGAAAAATTATCTAGTTATATGAAACATTTTTTGAGATTTAATTAAAATTTTTTTTTGTTATTAGTAATTTGCATTTCTATGACGAAAAGAAAAGCGTTACAAAAATCGAATAATCAAAAATCGGACGGAAAAAAAAGTTGTAACCAGCCCATAAAC